TCTGCTATTCACACCCGCTCTCAGTGCCAACTTGAAATCCCAACCAGCCTGTAATTACGATTATCGGTGTGTCCTTTGCATGGGGCCTTCGGCGTCGAAATACTTTCTTCCGCGCCGTGGTATTCACATGATCACTTATTGAAGGACGTTTATGACCCCCTTTTGTGAGGGTGTTGAACAGCCTGCTACGCGATTAGGGTTGTCATTCATTCCGTCGCACTCGGACATACCCCCAGGTTCTACAACAACGCTGTATTAACCTGTGTCGGGTTGTTCACCCTCGCTTTTGGGCGATGTCTCGGCGAAACAATCACGCACGACCGCACCACGCTCTTCGTCGGAACTCCCAACAGGAGCTCCTAGTTTTGGGTCTTGTCTTTTCAGGATTGTGGTGATTGTTTTGCAGGCATCCTCCCCCTTGCCAAAACAAATACCTCCAGGCGATGTATGTTGGATTTCTATTCTCAATATTTGACGTTGGTTTTGGAACACGTCGTGGACAATATCATGGAGCACCAGGATGCTGTACGGTGCTTGACGGAACCATTGGAACTTCAAGAAAAACTTCACGGTGGATCATGGTGAAGCACCGTCAAATTCAAGTCTCATGGAAACCCTGGTGAGAACCTATTGTTGCCATGAGAAAATCATTTCGGCCATGAAAAATGTTGTCAAATGCCTCAAATGGAGCACCATGGAGCGCCGTTAAAATTCCCAAGAACAATGAAGAAGAAATACACACAAAATATTGAAAGAAATGATGCCTCATGGTGCCCAATGGGGCGCCATCGGAACCATGGGCATCATGTTCAAAGCTTGACGTTGTTCGCCTCATGGAAACCATGGTGCGCCACCATGTGTTGGTGTACTTTCGAAAGTTCACGGCGCATCGTGAAGTGCCATGGGGCACCATGTTTTCCCACGAACTTCGGTACAGCACGGGCAATCTTTCTTGGTCGAGGATCGGGATCTTATTGCCTCTGCAGGTCATCAACAGCCACTCAAGGGTTTCTGATTAGAGGCTCTAGTCCAGGCACCACAACTAATAGGTCCTGAGAAATTCCTTCATTTTGATCACTGTTCTCCTGAATTCCTAAATCCTCCCAGGTTCTCAAGTAAGTGGTGGTCCGATCTATATTTCTTGAAACATAGGTCTAATTTTGTTTTTGGTGCATGATGAAACACAATGACCCGCCGTCGTGTCACACGACGCGCCGTGATCAATCATGACACCGTGAAAGCTAATGATGTTCCATGAAACCATGAGAAATGTTTTCATGGTCCCCATGACGCGCATTTACTGGCTCGGGTGGCCCGCTTTGTGTTGTGGTGTTTTGAGCTGTCTTGTGTTCTGTTTGTTTATTTTTTGTTTGTCGTTACGGCGTGTGGCTTTTTCTGTCTGTATCTTTCTCCTTCTCTCTCCCGTCTCTCCATCTGCTCTCTTCTTTATCTTTTTCTCTTTATTTTCTTTTTCTCCTTCATTTTCTGTCTTTTTTCTTCTGTTTCCAATCTAGGGTTACCTCGCATTGCGTATAGTGGCTAGCGGAGTGGCCTAGACTATCTGTCGTTGAGATATTTTGGCTTGCGGCCCCTTCGGGTCCATTTTATTTTCGTATACCTCTTTTGGGTAATTCAGCCTTTGACCACGGGAATGGACCCCGTCAAGTGTTGGACCAGTACGGACCGAAGAATGTACTGGGCAGAGAGAACGGAACGGTTTTTGATGTGAAGACAACAACATGAATGGGAACAATCAACACTCATTTTCCCCATCGGATTTCTGAATTCCATGTTCATTTCATGGTTCACCATAGGGAGCACCAAGGAGCAACCCATGGAGATCATGAAAATTCGCTCATGAAGTTCAATGGAGCACTAAAGTGTTTTTATAGGCTCCCATGGTTCACAAGGAGCGCCAAGGAGTACCACGGAGACCATGAAGCTTACTTATTGAGTGCCGTGGAGCATGTGCACGTGCTCCAGAGATATCCACGAGATTTTCTCTACGGGCCGCCATGGTGCATCATGGTTCACCATGAAAAACTGTGAAAGTTTTTTTCACGGTGCTTGATGAGGCACCGTAGGCCGCCATGCAGCTTCGAAGGAACGCTTCATGGCACCGCATTCCATGTCCTCCATGAAACAACACGGGATTGCCCATGAATATGTTGTAGACCTTGAAAACATAGGAAAACTCGGAGCAGCTGAAAATATTTGATGGAACGCCATATAGATTGAACCATGGAGCGCCATGGACACCTCGAACGGTGCACGATGAACAGTTTCTGTGTTTTTTTCTCACCGTGTTCCATGACGCCAGGTTCTTTCATGGTGCACCATGGTGCTCCATGTCACCCATGAAATCGACTACTTCAATCATTGGTTTTTCATATGGAGCCCCATGGAGCACCATTGAGCTCCATAGAAAATGCCCTCTTTCTTTCGCATGATTTGCATTGTGGTTCATTGTGCACCATGGAGAACCATGCAACCATAGTGCGAAAGGTTGTAGCGCAGCAGTCGATTTATTCCGTGGTTTCCATGGAGCACCATGGTAGAAGCGAGGAAGGAGTGGGGTCGCGCAGAGCAGGAAGGTTGCACCTGCCTGCGGAGAGATACACGAACCGGGCAAATGCACACCATAGCTAGAAGATCCAAACGGCGATTTTGACGAAAGCAAAGAAAAAGGAGTAGGAAAAGGAGGAGGCGGGGCCAGGAGGGACGCGGGTTTGCTAGGAGAGCAGCACATGGTTTCCTTTCTGTTTCCGATATTCCTTTCTCTTTCTTTTTCTCTCGTGCTTTCACCCCTGTGACCGGGTTCGATCGTGTCCCTGTTCATTTTTTTTTCGTTTGAGTAACAAATCGCGTCAGTTGGACTAGTACGGACATTCTAAGGTACTGAGCGGATACTGGAACGGTTTTTTATGTGGAGACAACACCAACAGCACTAACAAGCCATGAGGCGTTCATGGAAACGTTCAGAATGCTGGTAAAAAATTACAGTCAATTTTTCTGTCATGAACATGCACGAACAATCATGGAAATATCTTCGGGTTTTGTCGGGAGTGGGGGGGCTTCCGAACACCAAGAATGCACCATGATGAACATGCACGAACAATCATGGAAATATCTTCGGGTTTTGTCGGGAGTGGGGGGGCTTCCGAACACCAAGAATGCACCATGACAATGTCTTGTGTCCTTGCTTTTTCGTTGGGCTCCATGGAGTGGAAACGAGAACGCCCCACTGTGCGCACCAAGGTACTTCAGGAGTGAGTAAATACAACGGTGCACCCATTGTGCTCCATGAGAATCTGACTATCTGGTGGCATCGTGATTCGAAAAAACATGTTTGATACGTATGTTCAGAACGCTGTCGCCTTGTCCTGGTGCTTCTGTGCGGCGTACTGTGACCTCCATAACGTTACCCTGACTCTCTCCAGCCGCTCATTCGATGGCACACACGTTTTCCCTCGGCCAGCTCTGTGTTCGTGTCTTCCGTCAAACTTCTTGCGCGATTTCAAGCCGGCGACAATGGACCCGCCCTTGACCATTTCGACGATTACATCGCGGATGGTTTCCTCCCCCTGCCACCCCCGTCAAAGCCGAAACCGATGCCACCTCCACCTCAAGCAGCCACCAGCAATTTCGTAGGCGTTTATGGAGAGAGGGAAAACCGTTTTTCCTCCACGCCTGTGTTCGTTTCTTCTGCCAACCTTCTTGCGCAATTTCAAGCCGTTGACGATGGACCCTGCGAGACCTCTCGCACACCTCTCAATTCTCAGCCGCAACAGGAACTACGGCAACAGCTGGGGATTGCCTCTACATAGCTCGCCCAGTAGACCCGGGCAGGTTGGTTTTAAAAGCCACAGCGACGTGACCATGTTGGAGGTCAGCAGTGGGCTGTGGGTGTTTTCATAGCGTAGCAGAGGAGGTGGGTAACACAGCAGTCGGCTCAGCAGCGGTGAGTAGTTTTTTTGTTTCGTTTTTTGGGAGGACGGGTTGGATTCGACTTTATCACGTAAGGAGTGCACAGCCAGTGCAGAAAAAATGTGTAGATGTGGGTGCGTAAATACAAGGTTCTCGTCTCCTGTAGGTGCCATATATGTATGTGTATTGAAATGTTCTCTTCAAGCGATATTTAATGTTGTCAACACCTCTGTTCATGTTCGGTGCTTCCACACGAAAAAGAATTACGCGACAACAACAACAGCGAAACCGACCCACCCGAAGCACGCAGCTCAGAGCGTGATAAATTGATGTTGATGTTGATAATATAATAAATATACGTATGTATGAATCTACTTCTTCTACTGCTGTACGTATTGCTCCAACGAAAGATGGCTTGTGTCTTTGCGTGTGTGTGTTCGTCCCATCTATTCTGGCGCCGGTTTATAGGCCCTTCGGCGTACCTCGATACTATGTACACATAATACCTTTGACTGACCTTTCAGACGGGGGCACGACACACAGAGAACCTTTTTTCATCACTTGGTTTTGGGAAGGAAGGGTAGTCATCCATCCATTCCTATCCCTCGTTCACCGTGAAGCCGAAGTCTGCTTTTGCTCATGATCCATGCATCCAGTTATTTTTCGGTGGATATCAACGATTGCCCTCTCTCATCCACTGCTGTTTGAAATAAATCCCCTGAAAAAAAACCGCCGGATAGAGAAACGAACGCACAACCTGTCCCGACGGGGTCATGCAGATTGACCACCAGACTACCGGAAAAATACAACAGTAGCCGTACTCGTGCTGGCGCCTCTGCCGACATCGTTCGAGACCTGGTGGGAAAAAAAGAGGCAAAATAATTGCTAGGGGTATGCTAGGTATAGGTCGACTCCGACGGCATCGAGCAGCATCTCTGCGATGACCGCGCTGGCTCGTAGAGGCTGGGGTCCCATTCGATTTCCACAGGGTCTGGGACTGACAGTCTTGGTCGCCTCGGTGGCCTAGTGGTATCCTCGTAATCCGCTATAATAGTCGCAGAGGTCGTGAGTTCGAATCCCCACGGGGTGAAAATAATTACGAAATGTGCGGGTGGAAGCGAAATATAGCTGACAAGCTCTCGTGAGTACCAAACTTCGACGTTAGCACCGTTGACGAGGGAAAGGGACGGCTGGACCCTTCTCGCGATAAAAATAAAAATTCAGCACGCACCGCAGGAGGAAGGTGGGGTATGAAAAGAAATAAGAAGAAAAAGCCCTTGTGTTTACCCCCCTCCTGTCTGACCCTGGATGGTCGAAGTTGTTCGAAAAAATACACTGAAAAGTGTAGTACCCTACATACGCTGAAAAGTGTCGTACACGTCCCACCACGAAAAATGGGGGGACTGTCGCCATAATACATAGATAGGACGAAAAATCACACACAGTCTTCCTCGAAGAATTTTGTCTTCCAAAGTACACTATTGTTTTGCTGCAAACTGAGGAAAAAATGAATATTTCATCGACTCATCAGACCCACTCCTCTCGACAGCAGTGCATTCAACGAGCGGTAACTCATGACACTCACGGGAAGGAGGTGCAGGTCCCTTTGTCTACGTAGCAGGCATCCACCGCGAATGTTTGTACATGATAGTCTACACAATTTTTCCTTGCTCGGTAGAATAGGATCTCCTACAGTACAACGGTCACCACGAACTAGCAACGCACGTGGTCGTTGATGTAAGGATTGATCTCTTTCGCACACAGTGGTAGTAGTTGTTGTTGTTGTTTCTCACATTAGCTCTATAGTCCACAAAAATGGGGAGCCCGTGGTCTCAAAATCCGGCACACACGACGCCGCGGGGAAACAAAACAAAAATTGGGTACAAACCACTCGGAACAAGAAAACAAAATGATAGAAAGAAAAGCACAGGTATCGCACCGACCGTTCGAGAAAAGAGCCCTCGGAAACCGATCAAAAAAAAAAAAACTAAAATAGAGGAGGACGCTTCCCACACCCGCCTAAAGAAATTATCAGAGGGTAACGTACCAGCACCAGGCACGACGCACCGGGGCATGGGAGTAACGGAGCAAACAGGACAAAGAGGCGGCAGATGGGCAGACAGCCAGACGTACAAAAACAAAGGCAACAGCAAAAGCGAGATCAAGGTACCCAACACAGCAGAGTAGGCAGGGAGGCCTTGAAGAAAAGAAACACAGCACAGAGGCCGAAGGCAATACAAAGGACATACATAACGGAGTATAGCATACAGCAGGGAGGGAAACAGGGCGCAACAACATCAGCCGGGTACATGGTTCGCCACAAGTGCTGCCTCGGCCGCCCTACTCGCTTCTACAGCAGTGCCCCGTCGCCGTTTCTTCCCCCCCACCGCCGCTTCCCCGGCTCTCATTCTCTTCGGTCCTGACGTGGCCGTACTCTCTGCTTCTGCTTCCCTCGCGCGCTGGCGCTTCGCGGACGCTTCCGCCCCCTGCCTGTGCCATTTCCTCATGAACCATGCCGCCCCGTCCTCGACCTTGTTGTACCACACCTCCGGGTCCTTGGCGCTCTCTTTCCATTTCCCCCCTTCCTTTTCGTCTCCCATGTTGAAGGCCACAAGGTCCTTGTTTGGGGTGTCGGCGCGTGTACTATGTTATCACGCTCGCGGGCTCTTGTCGAGAGCGTGTTGCACAAAGGAGTGACTCAAGTTCCTTGATTAACTATTAACGAGTGACAAGCATGAGCAGCAGGCAAGAAGGACCTGCTGCTGCACACACGTCTGCATATACCCAAACCTATCATATCTGCGTACCCCCTCGGATATCTCGGAGATCTGTATCCTGCCGAGTACATACACAAACAGCCCCCCTACTCGGTACGAGATACGATCTACGAACCTTCCGTACATATCACCAGGTAAAACGGCAACAAAACCAAAACCATTCATCTTTCATATTCACAAATCATCTCAACTTCCCGATCTATTGAATATTCAAATTTCAAGTTACTATTCCTCCTTAATCCACTACTATGTGTGTTGGAACTTCACTAGAGTCTTAACAATCATCCCTCTCGAGAAAATGTCGTCACCAAATTCTCAAGCAGCCAAAAACCAAGAATCATCCTTAGAAAAATACTCCGCAAAGATCAACATTCCATCAGAGTCACGTCATGAAGACTTTGGACGGACAACTCCGGAAAAACGTGTCAACTATTACTTCGGACAAGATCCTCGCACAAAACCATGTTTCAGCTCATTGACCAATCTCAAATAAGCTTCGGAAGCACATAGGCCTCCACCATATCTTACCAAAATATGCCAATTCCTTCCTTCAATATATCATTCAGAAAAACCAAAATACCAAATACGGCAAAAGAGACAAAGGTTAAAAACCCGGCGCATATTTAAACGCCAGAGGAAACTTTCACCAATTAAGCCGTTTCTCAAACAAAGAGACAACATCAATTTCTTAGCAGCCCCTGGCCACAATATCTCCCAAAACATAAAACTTAACAGCCCCTTGCTGCACTATCTCCCAGAACATGAAAAGCTTAACAGCCCTCCTGCTGCAATAACTCCCGAAACAGAAAATGCAAGCCATCCAGTATTTCGTCTGGATTGCAAGAAAAATAATACAAAACATATACCGATTGGCATCTCTCCTTCAACATATCTCCGACCATGGAACTCAATCCGTCCTACAGCAATACATGCAAGGCACAACTCTCGAATACTAACAACGAGAAAACAAACAAATATCATTAACTTATCTCCGAAAGCC